ATACTTTTTAACCTCAAGCGCTAGGCTTGTGTAGCTCTGCAATGCGCATGCGTACTCTGTGCAGTCCCGTTCAAAACAGTTAGAGTAGGTCGAAAAACTCCCATCTCATTTTCTCCTCCAACTTCAAAATCGTCCTACATCGATGCAGAAGTACCGACCCAGTGTTTACAAAGTGAACATGCAAAGAAGGTCAAAGCCCTTTACAAAAAAAAAACAAAAAAACAACAACGGTAAAACAGCGATGTAGGACGATTTAGAACGATTTTGAAGTTGGAGGAGAAAATGAGATGGGAGTTTTTCGATATACCCTAACTGTCATGAACCGGAATGCACAGTTCACGCAGAGCTAGACAAGACGTGCGTTTGAGGTTAAAAAGTATATGAATTAGGGCTGTCAAAATAAAAAAATTGAATTTCGAATATTTGTCGAATTTAAAATAATAATTCACATTTTAGATGTGCATCAGGCAGCCTTATCAGTGGCGCACGAAATGCTACGACGATGTAAGTGTCATTGCATTTTAATGTTTTTGTTAGTCTATTCAGTTGAACCCACTGCTACGTTGTTCATTCAAAGTATTGCGGGAAAAAAGAACATCAATGTGGAGATTATGTTGTTTACGTCAAAACCGAAATAAAGAACACATATTTATCACATTTTCTAGAGGGACATCTATCACCGTTGCAATCGCGTCTTGCACAAGAGAGCCACATGTTTAGAAAGCCATGAAAAATGTATGTAAGTTAAACTTTTTAAAAACACGTCAAGACTTTATGGCGGTTTTTCCCCATCCTACTGCATCTCAAGTTTTTAAATGAAGAAAGTACTCTTTGTGATTGGTTTTCGGTCCTTTGTATTAAACTATACATCAACCCTCTACATTGCGAGTAAATCAATCGCATATGCGACTAAATCTTACTCTGGGCGACTAAATAATGTCTAACATTAGCCATTGGCTAATAAATTCTTAGATTTTACACGCCAGTATGTGTGTGAGAGGCGTTCAACACAGATTTTCACTCGATAAAAACGCTGACTGAGCGCTTGAGAGTTTCGCTCTCCGTCAAGCGATCTGTACTATTTGGATGCGCTCAATGGATCATGTCATGTACTCAATGGATGCGCAGTATGTAGCACGCAGCGCACCTGTATCTGACGTACCGTAAACTAGTGTGAAGGCGCACGACTCGCCGTCGCTTTACTGATAGCGCTGTGTTTCTCACACATGCTGTGTAGGGTATCAGACCGAATCAGACAATTTAAGATTCTATCAAGAACATGGTTGAAACACGAGAAGCCGAATTCCACAAGACAACAAAGACAACAGGATGTTCATAAATCAGACCCTAGCACTAGCCAGTCTGAAGCAAGCCTAACCACAGAACAG